TTAGAGAACCTTAGAAGACATCTACCCTAGCATCTCCATTGAAGAAACTGCAGCCCAGAGAGATCAGTTAACTTGCCCAAGGTCACACAGCCAGAAAGTGGCAGAGATGGTAATAGAACCCAGATCTTCTGACTCCCAAGCATTCTTTTTACTACATATACTCTAGGGTCTTCTGGCCTTGGGATGGAGGGTGAGGGTTCAGGGCCCAGGTTGGCAGGGGGAGGGAAGGCAGTTGGCAGAAAACCAACATGCTTACCGCCTGGCATTTGCTTTCAAAGTGGAGGTGACCAGTGGTGGCAGACTTGCCTCAGGGGGCTTCTGAGGCTCAGGCCCCAGTTCCTAAGAGAGAAACGCAGCTCTCCCCACTGGGCCACACTGCACCACACGAGGACCTGGTCCCCTTCCTAACCCTTAGCGCCTTGTGACCTTAGAATAGTCACAGAATCCCTGAAGTCAGGAGGAGCTGAGTTCAAATGTGGCCTCAGACCAAACACTTGACACTTACTAGCTGTGTGACCCTGGGCAAGTCACTTAACCCCAATTGCCTAAAAAACAAAACAAAACAAAACAAAAGAATAGTCACAGAATTAGAAGGGGTCTCAGGACCAACCAGTATTGGAGGAAGAGTCCTCACTTCCAGCCTTTGCTGGAAGGCCTCCAAGGAGAGGGAGCCAGGCATTCCTTCCTACTAAGGCAGGCCATTACGGTTTGTCCTGACGTCTGTCCTCAAGTGACCCCTTGACAGCTTCCACACCTTGCTCCTGGCTCTGTCCTTTGGGGTTGTGTCCCCACAGTGGCGTCCTTCATTGTCCTCTTCTCCAGCCTGAACACCCCAGGTCCTCTATATGACTGGGGCCCCGGGCCCTTCACCATGCTGGGTGCCCTCCTCTGAATGCTCCAGCTTCTTAACCCATGGTGCCTGGAACTGATTGTAATACTGGGCCCGTGCTCTGACCAGGCCACTCTGGGGTGACATGGCACTCTGACCAAGGCAGACTGTCACCACTGTGAAACTCAGTTTCCTTATATATAAAAAAGGGGAGTACCCCAACCCACGCTGTTATTGTGAGGATCAAATGTCAGAAGATATTAACCAGTAAACATTTATTAAACACCTACTATGTGCCAGGCAATGTGCTAGACACTGAGGGTACAAAGACAAAAATAAAACAGCCCTGCCCTCAGGGAGCTTATAATCTAGAGGGGGAAACAACATGTACATACATAAATAAGTATATGCTATATGCTATGTATAAAAAGCTAACATTTATATAACACCTGCTATATGCTCCACACTGGGCTAAGTGCTTTACAATTATTATCTTAGTTAACAATAATAAATAGTAAAAATAGCAGCTAACATTTATGTAGCACCTGCTATGTGGCAGGCACTATGTGAAAAGCTTCAAATTATTATCTCTTTTGAGCTTCACAAAACCCTAGGAGGAAGGTGCTGTTATTATCCCTATTTTACAGATAAGGAAACTGAAGTAGGCAGAGATGAAGTGATTTGCCCAGGTTCACACAGATATGAAGGGTCTTGAGACTGGATTTGAACTCGGGTCTTCCTGACTCCAGACCCAGCGCTCTATCCACTGTACCACCGACCTACCAAATTAATTTAATTTTTATGGAGACCAGTCCATACAAAGGTGTGGTGATAGGAGATGGGAATTTGGAATGTCGTACGTGTGAGGAAAAGCAAGAAGGTCAATATGATTGGACTATAAAGTGTGTGAAGGGGTGTGATATATAATAAGGCTGGAAAGGTGGGTCCGAGTCAGGTTGTGAAGGGAATTCAATGCTAAACCGTGGGGTTGGTGTTTGGTATTAGAGGTAGGTTGCTAGGGAGCAAAGTAGATAGATTTAGTGTAAGAGTCTGGAAGACCTGAATTCAAATCCTGTCTCAGACACTTACTTGGCTGTGTGACCTTGGGTATTTCACTTAACTTATTTCAGCCTCAATTTCCTCATCTGTAAAATGGGCATAATAATAATAGCACTTATCTCCCAAGGTGTAGTGAGGATTGAATGAGATAATATCTATTAAGTGCTTTGCAGATCTTAAAGCACTACATAAATGTTAGTTGTTATTAATAGGGAGTCATTGCAGTTATTGAGAAGAGAATAAGCATTTATGTAGCCCCTACTATGCACTAGGGCCCAGGGGTGGAGAACTTATGGCTTTGAGGCCGTATGTGGCCTTCTAGGTCCTTAAGTGTGGCCTTTTGACTGAATCCTTCTAGGTCCTTAAGTGTGGCCTTTTGACTGAATCCAAATTTTACAGAACAATTGGATTCAGTCAAAAGGCCAAACTTAAGAAACTAGAAGGCCACATGTGGCCTCAAGGCCACAGGTTCCCCACCCCTGTGTGACTAGGCACTGTGCTAAGTGCTTCACAAACATCACCTCATCTTTACAAATATTGTCTCATTATTGAAGAGAATTCATGTAGTTAAGCCAATGCTTTAAGAAAATGATTTTGGCTGCTTTGGGGAAAGGAGAGACTAGAGTCAGGGAGGCCAGTTAGGAGGCTCTCACAGTAGTCCTGTTGAGGGGTACTAGCACCTGAACTAAGATGGCGGCCATGTGAGTGGAGACAAGGGGACAGCAGTGAGAGATGTTGCAGAGGGAAAAATGATGAGCTTTGATGACTGACGGGATGTGTGGGATGTGTAAGGTGAGGAGTCAAGGATATCTCTTAGGCTCTGAGCCCGGGTAACTAGAATGTGATGGTGCCCTCCATAGAAATAGGAAGGTCTGGGAGGAATGGAAGAAGTGGAGAAAGGGTTTGGAAGGGATGTGTCTGTAAACCATCTAACGTTTTACACCCTCAGGGATTATTACGGTTGAGTGTAAAACTCAGGTGCGGGACAGGGCGGGGGGAGCCATGTCTGCAGGATTTGACCCTCTTGGGCATTTGCAGCAGATGTCCCAGTTGGTTTGCCGGTAGTAGGGTTGGGTTATATGGAGCCATCTCCACTGTCTCAAGTGGCTTCCCTGTGACTAATAGCATGATTCCTGAGGCTTGTGGTGTGGTCACCAAGTTGTGCACTTTGAGGAAATGAGACAATCACTCCTATCTTTAATCTAAGAACAAGGTTTATTTGCATTATACAATGCACTGGGGAATACTCGCCCATCAAGGAAAAGGAAAAAGGATAGGAGGAGACGTGTCTACCACATCACTATCATCACTGCGTCCCAGGCTTTGTTGTTGTTCTGGCAAACAAAGGCATGTGTCTGTAACTGCCCCTGAGGAAATCAGTCATGCCCATGATGTCCACAGGCCATTTGAGGTGAGGCAGTGGGACTCTGGGCTTTCATGCCAAGAAGACAGAGGGAAGACGTAGCCTTTAACAAATGTGCCAACCCAGGTCGTGCAGGGGCTAGACGCTCTTGACTGTCAAACCCTTGAAGGTTAAACTTGGGGGCAGGTAGATTTCCCTTGGTGATGGTGACTGTACTATGAATCCATGTCTGCCCACCTGTCCATTCTCCCCTTGCTGATGGGAGTCTGCATTCTGTGGGTAAGGTGGTCAGTGTCTGCTCCCAGAGCCAAGATGTCTCTTGTTCTTGGGCTTATCTCCTCTTAGTGAAGGAAAAAGCAGCGTGTTGTTAGAGAAATCCCTGGACTGGAAGGCAGAAAAAAATGATTTTAGTTCTCTCTCTGCTATTTGCTAACTGGGGTATCTTGAGCAAATTGTCTTTCTCTGGGCCTCAGTTTCCCCATCTGTCAAATGAGGAAGTTAGATGAAATGATCTCCCTTTTCCATTAAGCTCTGACCATCTGGGTCTTAAGGGCCTTTCCATTGCTAATATTCTATGCTCTGAGGTCTCTCCCAGTTTTGACATTGGATGTTTTAAGGTCTCTGTGAGCTCCAACATTCTATGCTCCAAAGGCCCTCCCAGCTCTGACCTTCGAAAAGGAAAGTGAATATAGAATCATGGAAGAGGTCAGCAGCCTTGAGAGTCCAGGGTGCCACACTTAGTGGCTTGAGCCCTGGGCTTGCTCTGAAGGGGCTGTGAAAGTCTCTGGCTCCTGGATTCAGTGATTTGGCTTGGGGGAAGGGGACGAAGGGATTCCTAAGAATGTGAAAGGCAACCTAGGGAAAGCAACTGTTAGTAACATTTCTTTCCCTTCTCCCCACCCTCATGGTCCTGACTTGGGAACATATTATGCATGAGAACATATGTATCATGAAAGGACTTGTAGGAGGAAAGAAGGCCTTGGCTCAGGAAAAATTAAGCCCATAAGCTGTGGATGGGCAGTGGGAGGAGCTGACCTGAGAAGAGGTTGGGTGGGGTATGCCAGAGAAATTCAGGGACCATGCTTTGGAGCACAAGCTAGCAACCTAGAATACCCTCCATTCCCCACCCCCACCCCCCCAAAAAAAAGTTTCCAGGTGAGGCTTGGGTGGTGTGTGATAGTAGAAGAGCACTGTATTTGAAGTCAGAAGATCTGGGTTTGAATCCTAACTCTGATCTCAGACAAGATTGTTGATTTCTTGATCCTCAGTTGCCTCTTTTGTAAAATGAAAGGTCTGGACTAAGTGTTTTCAGCTCTTAATCCTTTGGATTGAGGGAGGAAGTTAAATTCCTGGAATCTTCATGAGAAATAAGAGAGAGAGGCAGCTAGGTGATGCAGTGGATAGAGCACTGACCCTGGAGTCAGGAGGACCTGAGTTCAAATCTAGCCTTAGACACTTACTAGCTGGGTGACTCCGGGCAAGTCATTTAATCCTGATTGCCTCAAAAAAAGAAAAAGAGAGAGAGAGAAATAAGGGAGAGAGGGAGGGAGGTGTAGCATCCCTCCCCTGTCCCTACTCCCCTACACACACCTGGTGTGAAGGGGGCATAACTTCTGTATGAGAGGACCAGGAGAGCAGCCTTGCTGAGGGTTAGCAGGAAGGGAAAGGTGCCACAGGAGGATTGGGAATTTGGGGAAAAGAGGGGCCAAAGATCAGACCGATGGGTGGGTTTCCTTCTCTGATCCACAGACAGCGGCTGGACAGTCTCCTGCCCCACTATGGAACTTTGCCACGGGGTCCAACCAAGGCCTGTGTGGTGAGTGTTGGGGGGCTGGGGAAACAAAGGCTTTGGTCTCGGAGAGCCCTCCTTAGCCCCCATCTCCTTCACTGGTCACGTTCAGGAAGGGGCCCAAATCAGACTCCTCACCCCCGAGCCTGCCTTCTCCTTCGCCCTCTACCCCTGCTCCAGATAACCAGAGCACCCCGAGGAATGGGGGCAAAGAAGCCCTTTTTCCAACTCCTTCTCCCCCAGGAGGTGAGCGGCTACCAGCAAAGCCTGTGGCGGACTGGCCTGTGCCATGTGGGGGCCCTGCTGACCTCTGGGATCTTGCTGTTAATCTTCCACTGGAAGCCCCAGCTCGAGGTCAAGGCCAAGTGCACCTCCTGCCCTTTAGAGCAGGCTGACTGGCTGATCATCAAGGTAAGCCTCTTCCTGTTTTACTGGAAGTTGGTGTGGCAGAAAGAGGGAGATTTGGCGTGGGAGGACGTAGACTTGAACCTCTCTTCTGCATATGTGTGTGACCCTTGGGCAAAGACACTTCAATTCTCTGGGCCTTGGTTTCCTCATCTGTAAAATGAAAGATGTTGGACTAGATCAGTCTCTAAAAGGCAACATTTCTAGCACTCTTATTAATAAGTTGTGTCCCCATGGAGGAATCAAGTGGCTGAGAACAGGGCCCTGGTGGTGGTGAAGGTGTCGGCCAAAGGCAGGAGGGCTGTGGGGAGGGGAGATCCAGTGGGGAGGGAGTATATCCCAGCACTCACCACCAAGGATTTTGTATTCTAGGATCAGTTTGGGCAACTTTTCACCACCCAGGTGCAAACTGAGGTTGTCAGTGAGGGCAGGTGAGGAGAATGAACGTCCCTTCCCCCTTAATCCCCTTCTATGAACATCCCCCCCCCCCACAAAGGAGCCTTCCTCCCCTCCCCCCAAACATGGGGCTGTTTGGGATGACTTTGGAATGAGCCATAAGGGCTCCCCCTCCTTCTAAAAGCCCCAGCCCCTTTCTGCTTCAGCCTTCCCAGCGCTTCTCCACCCCATTCCCCTCCTAAGGGAAGGAGGTACCAGGACTTTTCACCCTCTGCAGCCTGAACCAACTCCAGGAAGGCCCATGGGATTGGAAGCTGGAGGAAGATGGAAGGAACCACATGGCAGTGGGGGTCTCCCAGGAGGACGCCTGGAGGGACACCATCCGGCTACACAGAAAAGAGGAGGTAATTATCGGCCTCTCCTGTCCTAGTTCCCCTCACCCCTCGCCTCCCTCTCTGTTTGGCTTAAGCCAGTTTTCCTCCTTCCTCCTTTGCCCAGAACCCAGTCCCTCCACCCCACTCCTCAGTCCTGTTCTTCTGGGGCAGGGATGGGGAACCTGCAGCCTCGGAGCCACCTGTGGCCCTCTAAGTCCTCAAGTGTGGCTCTTTGACTGAATCCAAACTTCACTGAACAAATCCCCTTAATTAAAGGATTTGTTCTGTAAAACTTGGACTCAGTCAAAAGGCTGTACCCGAGGACCTAGAGGGCCACAGGTGGCCTTGAGGCTGCAGGTTCCCCACCCTTGCTCTGGGGTCTCTGGTATAGCTTTTATCCCTCCCTCCTCCAGCAGAACATCCTTCGGTACTATGTATTTGAAGGGGTCCGATACATATGGATTGAGGCTCAGCAGGCCTTCCGCCGTGTCAGGTGAGTCCAGAGTCCCTAGCTGTTGAAGGGTTAAGGGCCCCTCCTATGAAGGGCCTGGAGGGGAGAGAGCCCCAGGGTAAAACAGCTTGTGTAGAGGGGCCTGGATTATAGTGGGAAAGAGCATTGGAGTGAGAAGAACTGAGTTTTAATCTTGGCTTCCCAGCTATATGACTTTGGCCAGATTGCTAAACTTCTCTGGGCCTCAGTTTTCTCACTTGAAAAATGGGCACAATATACTTGGGCCACCACTTACCTCAAAGGTAAGGAAAGTACTTTGTAAACCTTAAATTGTTGCAGATACAAGAGCTGCTGTTTTTAGTGATGTGCCTGCAGACAGGGGATGGGGATTAGCGGCGGCCTTCAGGGTCTGGGCCTTGACTCTCCCTTCCTCATACCTCTCCCCTCAGTGTACTAGATGAGAACAGGACCTGTGAAGACCTTCATCATTCCAGCGCTGGACTCAGCCCCCAGGACCACAACATAAAGTAGGCTTCCCTACTCCCACCCGTGCTGAGCTTTGCTTTCTGTCTTGGTAAAGTAGGGACTTTGTGCCACTGAGGTGGCAGTGTGATATATGATGGAAAAGACACTGGATTTGGAGTCTGAGAACCTGGATCCAAATCCTACCTTTACAATTTACTAGCTCAGTGATATTGGAGAAATCGCTTTCCCTCTCTGGGCCTCAGTTTCTTCATCTTCATAAAGAAAAGGGGTTGGACGAAATGGTCTCTGAGGACCCTTCTAGCTCTGAATCTGTACTCCATGATCTCTTCATGGTCATTATCAAGGGGGCAGCACAAAGTGGGGATGGTCACTTCCTCTTTGACTTTCCCCTTGTTTCCTGCAGAAAGACGATATATGGCCTTAATCTGATTGATGTGCCGGTCAAATCGTACTCTCGGCTTCTGGTGGATGAGGTAGGAGCCAGCCCTACCCAGGGAGACACACTAGCCTAGTAGAAAGAGCAGGGATTAGGAGCAGAGCTGGGTCCTCACGCAAGCTCTGGCCTTGACTAGCTGAGTGATGTTGGGAGAGGTGTTTGTCCTCCCTGGGCCTCGTTGTAACATGAGGTTGGTAATAAGCTGGGATCACGCTAAGAGTTCCAGCCAGCCTAAGACGGATGAGGAAGGGAAAGCAGTGACCCATAAAGGTCTAGGAAGTCAAGGGTCAATTCCGGACTTTGACCTTGGAAGACACTTTCCCTTTCTGGGCATCAGTTTCCTCTTCGGAAATAAGGAAGTTGGACTAGCTCCCAATCTGGGAGGCCCTGGTTGCTTCCATGCTGGGGTTCTATTCACACTGCATTTATCCCTGTTGAATTCCTGCCCATTCTTGAAGGCCCAAATGCCTCCTTCTTCATTGCTCTGGCTGGTAACAAACTTCCCCCTTAGACCTCTCCGTGGCCTTGGCTTTGCACGTTCCTCATGCCCTGATCTCATAATATTGTGAACTCCACTTCTCTTTGTCTCCATCTTATCCCCCCGTTCGACTGTGAGCTCCCTGAGGATAGAAGCCATCATTTCTTATTAATTCTTTCGTATTTCCCCCGACTCCCAGCACACGGTTTGATAAATGCTTTTTGAATTAATATTTGAAGGGCAGGAAGCCGGTGGTTTTATTGACCTGATAGAGTTAAAAGATCTGGAGCCACTAAAGCCCCATTGCTGCCCCCTGGTGGTCAAGATGGAGCTTGCAGCTTGGCTCGTCTGTGGTACCTGACCCACTGTCCTCTGCCTCTCTTCCCAACCAGGTGCTGAATCCACTCTACATATTCCAGGCTTTCAGCATCACCCTGTGGCTATGGGACGCCTACTACTACTATGCTGGTTGCATCTTCCTCATCTCCATTATCTCCATCTTCCTGGCACTCTATGAGACCAGGAAGGTGGGTGCCAGGCTGTGCTTGGAGAGGAGGGCAGTGGGGGTGGGGAGAAGGTGGGCATTGGGGGGTTCCTGATGTCGACTCTTTCCCTTTTCACGTTCAGCAAAGCCGGACTCTGCAAAACATGGTGAAGATGACCATGAGTGTGACGGTGCGCCGAGCTGGCGGAGGTAAGATGGCAGAGAGGACTATCCGTAAACTCTGGTCCCTAGGATTCAAGTCAGCTCAATAAGCTTCTAGTACATGCCTGCTACATGCTTTATATACACTGTTCTAGGAACTGGAGATACAGAGACAAAACAAAACCCTGCCTTCATGGTGTTTACACTCTACTGGGATGGGAGGGAGCCAGTCAAGGAAGCCTCAGGGAGCTTTTTATCTCTCCATCCATTGCCTCTGTCTCATCTCACAGTGCTCAGAAAACATGGGATGAATTTGTTGACTTGATGTCCAAGGAGGTGTGGCGGGGCAAAAGGGCATGGGGTGGGAGGGGAAACAGAGCTAAAGTACCCACCCCTGTAGAAAATGTGCTGGTCAATTCCATGGAGCTGGTCCCTGGAGACTGCCTGGTACTCCCTGCCAACGGTGGGCTGGTGCCCTGCGATGCCGCGCTCCTGTCAGGAGAGTGCATAGTCAACGAGAGCATGCTGACAGGTGAGGGGGGCCCGGCCTTCCCCAGCCCGAGGAGGAGGAACCACACTGTCCCCTAAGTGCCCTGCCTTTTCCCTGCCAGCTCCTGGGCAAATGGGAAGAGCGTCAGGAGACGAATTAGAGTTTGTCAGAGCTGGAAGGAACCTTAGAATACAGGATGTCAGAGCTAGGAGGGCCCTTAGAACACAGGATGTCAGGGCTGGGAGGGTCCTTAGGACACAGAATGTCAGAGCTAGGAGGGTCCTTAGAACACAGGATGTCAGGGCTGGGAGGGTCCTTAGAACACAGGATGTCAGAGCTGGGAGGGCCCTTAGAACACAGGATGTCAGAGCTGGGAGGGCCCTTAGGACACAGGATGTCAGGGCTGGGAGGGCCCTTAGGACACAGGATGTCAGGGCTGGGAGGGTCCTTAGGACATAGAATGTCAGAGCTGGGAGGGGCCTTAGAACACAGAATGTCAGAGTTGGGAGGGCTCTTAGAACACAGACTGTCAGAGGTGGGAGGATCCTTAGAACACAGAATGTCAGAGCTGGGAGGGCCCTTAGAACACAGAATGTCAGAGCTGGGCCTTAGAGATCCTCTAGTCCAAGTCCCTCATTTTATGGATGAGGAGACAAAGACAGGGAAGGCAAGTAACTCAGTCATATAGGTTAAGTAAATGGCAGATCTGCAGCTTGGGCCCAGATCTTCTGAATTCAAATCTATTACCTGTCCTCTGTGCCCAGTGCACCTTGGGGGGAACCAAAGGGATGTGCTGAGGGAGGGATGGGGTGTGGGCTGAGTTTTTTTTTCCTCTGTCTTCTTTCTTTGTCTCTCTGTGTTTTTCCTTCTCTCTCCTCCCTCCCTCCCTCTCTCTTTCTCTCTCTTTTTCTTTCTGTCTCTCTCCCTCTTTCCTTCCTCCCTCTTTTCCTCTCTCTCTCTCTCTCTCTCTCTCTCTCTCTCTCTCTCTCATCTCTCTCATCTGTCCTCTCTCTCTCCTCCTTCTCTCTCTCTCTTCTCTCTCTCTTTCTCTCTCACATCTCTCTCATCTCTCCTCTCTCTCTCTCTCTTCCTCCTCTTTCTCTCTCCCTCTTTCACATCTCTCTCTCATCTCTCTCTCACATCTCTCTCTTATCTCTCCTCTCTCTCTCCTCCTTCTCTCCTTCTCTCTCTCTCTCTTCTCTCTCTCTCCCCCCCTTTCTCTTTTCTTCCCCCCTCTCCCCTCTCCCTCTCCCTCTCTGTCTTTCCCCTCTGCACACACAGTCATCATATGAGTTACCCCCACAGGGGAGAGCATCCCAGTGATGAAGACCCCACTCCCTAGTGGTCCCACTCCCTACTCCCCTGAGGAACACCGCAGACATACACTCTTCTGTGGGACACTAGTCTTGCAAGCCAGGGCCTACATGGGAACTGACGTCTTGGCGGTGGTGACCCGGACAGGTATGAGGGGGGAGAGAGCTGAGGGAGTGAACGCTCCATCTGTAATGGGGGACACTTGTCTGGCCAGCCCACCTATAGCAGAAGAGCTTGGGGAAAGCTGTCTCTTTCCTCCTCCCTTGCCTCTCCAGGCTATGCCTGGTACCTAACTTTCTTCTTTGATCAAGGTTGGGGTGGGGAGGACCCAATGGTACTTGGGCAGGACCAGAGTCAAGGTCCCTGACTCTCACCCCTGTCCAGGATTTTGTACGGCGAAAGGGGACCTGGTTAGCTCCATCCTCCATCCCAAACCTATCAACTTCAAATTCTACAGGGATGCCCTGAAGTTTGTGTTCTTTCTCTTTATCCTGGGTAAGTGGCCTGGCCTCTGAGCCCCCTCTATTTAGCCCCTCCCCACCCCACCCCCAGCTCAATCTCATTGTTTCTCTCTGGTTTCTCCCCTTTCCACTCCCCCAGCTGCCTTGGGCACCATCTATAGCATCGTGGTCTTAATCCGAAACAAGGTGAGACGTTTCTGGGCAGGGGGATAGGACTGGGATATACTTGGGCTCCAGCTGCCTCAGAAGGTCCATATCACTCTGGGGCCACCATCTTTTGCTCCCTGTGCCTTTCTCTTTCTCAGCATTCTTGTTCCTCCAGAGATGCCTTTCGTTGTGAGGTAGTCCGTACTCTTCATGAACTGGGTTCTTTTTTTGTGTCCCCTTCCTGGGCCCTGCTACCACCCCACAGCCCACTCTGTCACTTTCTCACTTATTCTAGGGGCCCTATGAAGCCCCAGTCATTTCCCCATGAGGAGAGTATTTTGGGACCCCTACCACCATGGGAATAGGGATTAGGAATAGGCCTCTCCTCCTTTCTTATCTTCTTCTTTTTCTTTGGCTAGGCAGTGGGGTTAAGTGACTTGCCCAGGGTCACACAGCTAGTAAGTGTTATGTGTCTGAGGCCGGATTTGAACTCAGGTCCTCCTGAATCCAGGGTCCGTGCTCTATCCGCTGTGCCACCTAGCTGCCCCTACCTCTCTTACCTTCTTACCTGCCCTGTTAGGCACAGAACCCCAGGGACAGAAAGAATATTGAATCTGGAGTCACAGGACCTGGGTCTACCCCTTACTGGCTGTGTGACCTTGGGCAAGTGATTTGCCCTCTCTGGGCCTCAGTTTCCTCATCTTTAAGGCGAGAGGACTAGATTAGTTGATATCTAAGGTCCTCTCTAGATCCTGTGTTACGAAGAAGCCTGGACTTTGAGATCTGAACCCAGAAGGAAGGAAAGGCAAAGTCAAAGGTGAGGCTGGGAGTGGGATCACTCATGCCTGAGCCATCTACCCATCCTCCAGGTAGCAATAGAGGAGATTGTAAAGCGGTCCCTAGACCTGGTGACAGTGGTAGTCCCGCCAGCACTCCCAGCTGCCATGACCGTTGGCATCATTTACGCCCAGAATCGTCTCAAGAAACACAGAATCTTCTGTATTAGCCCACCTCGCATCAACCTAGGGGCCAAGCTGCGGCTGGTCTGCTTTGACAAGGTAAGAAGGCTGGAGCCCAGGCCTGGGGAGGGGGAGGGGCAGCTGAGGTAGGGCTGAACAGATGTGATCTAGTAGACATTCATTAGGCACCTGCTGTGTGCACAGCACTGGGTGGGGGAGTGGGGCAGGAGACACCTGTAGCATTTACCTCTGAGGTTGCTTGTGAAAGGCCTAGGGGTGATGGTGGAAAGGAATGACCTTTAGACATCTTAAAAGCATCAGAGAAATGGCAAATGTTTCAATTATCTTTATTATAATTATTATAATTACATTACAATAATTGTAATTATTATAATTACAACTGCTACTACTACTACTACAGGTTTAGATAAGATGCTGTCTCTCCCCTCGTTGCTTATCACAGTCTGTAATGGAACTATGACAAAGACATTTAAGAGTTGTGCTCTATCTCTGAGGACTCTCCCAGCTCTGATATCCTAGGTTCTAAGGTCCCTTCCAGTTCTCACATTCTCAATTCTAAGGCCCTTCTCAGCTTTGATATTTTCTACTCTAAAGTCTCTTACAACTCTGACATTTTTAATTCTAAGGCTTATTCTAGTCCTGAAATTCTGTGTCCTGTGTTCCCTCCCAGCTCTGACATTCTATATTCTAAGGCCCCTCCTAGCTCTGACATTCTATGTTCTAAGTTCCCTCCCTGCTCTGACCTTCTGTGTTCTAAGGGCCCTCCCAGCTCTGACATCCTGTGTTCTAAGGGCCCTCCCA